AATTACACCTAAAATACTTGCATTTAATTAACATTTGTTGTAACTTGTTACACTGTGTAAACTGTAACCTAACCTAACTCTAACCCTATACCTTTACTCCTAAACCCAACCATCCCTCATAATATAAATAATAAATAATTAATATTATTTTATAAATAAGATAATTGCATCACAATTGTGACCTTTTTTTCTCACAATTGCAAGTTTACATCTCACAATTCTGAATTATAAAGTCAGAATTGAGAGATAGACAAATAAGTTTGTCAAGATGAGAAATTCGAAAATCTTATAAAAACTTGTTTTAAAAGCATGCATCAGGTATGTTAAAATGTACATAGTGTAATTATGTTGATTTTATGTAATTAAAAATTACATTTACAACATTTCTTTACGACAATTAAGACTGAATGTGTCAAATGGTGTAACTGCCAAAGAATGGGAAATAATAAATATTTTATCCAACTAGATTGCATGTGAGTGTACATATAGAAATAAATACTTAATTTTAATATATGTACACACGAACATAGATTGTATTAGAGTTATCTCTAAATGTAATTTTTAATGTTTTTTTGAAATATTTGGCAGGACATATGCTGAAAACACCTCTGTTTTCTAAATAATCTTTGACAAATTATGTAAAAATTGTTGAAAACCATGTTATTTCACTAAACTAGATTATAAAATTTTATTCCACATTAAATTTCATGTATATAATTTTATATTTTTAAGAAAAATACTGGTTATGCCAATTGACAAAAACCAGTTACACCACCTGACCATGTTGCTTCTAGAGTCAAAGGCCATTGTTTGTTGAAGAAATTGTTACTGAAAATCAACCATGACAGTCAACAAGTTCAGCAGAAGTGGTTTAATTTTTGTCAATGCTGAAAAAAAAACCTGAAAAGAGCTAATGAGGTTCATTCTCATGTTACGCAGCACGTTTGAGCTTCGGCAAGAACCAATGAGGTTCATTCTCATGTTACGCAGCACGTTTGAGCTTTGGCAAGAACCAATGAGGTTCATTTTCATGTTATGCAGCACGTTTGAGCTTCAGCAAGAACTAATGAAATTCATTCTCGTGTTACGCAGCACGTTTGAGCCTCGGCAAGAACCAATGAGGTTCATTCTCGTGTTACGCAGCACGTTTGAGCTTCAGCAAGAACCAATGAGGTTAATTATCGTGTTACGCAGCACGTTTGAGCTTTAGCGAGAACCAATGAGGTTCATTAACGTGTTACGCAGCACGTTTGAGCTTCAGCAAGAACCAATGAGGTTCATTAACGTGTTACGCAGCACGTTTGAGCTTCAGCAAGAACCAATGAGGTTCATTCTCGTGTTACGCAGCACGTTTGTAGCCTCGTGAGACCATCCTGATCTCGCGAGCTTTCAAGGTTTCACTCGCAGATCAGTCTGGATACTTTCCGTTAAAGAAAATTTGGGAGCAGTTCACCAAACGAACGTCCAATCAGCGTTGGCTTTGAGGCGGGTTGAGGTGTGACGCAACGAGAAGCGCGACAGTTCAGTCTAAAGAACATGGCGGCTTCAGCGGATGAAACTAGCATCAGCGTGGCTATCGATCCTTTGCCGACATGTTGCTTATTTGCTGAGCTAACGAGCCTTTACCTGCAGCAGCAAGAGTAGCCTGGCTTGTGGTTGTGTTTTCGTCGTCGCTCTGTTAGTACGTCATATGCTTTGTTGATCTGATTGGTTGATTTGGCCCGTCTATCACCAACATAGGCCAATCAGCTAACCAGTATTTTCGCCCCTTACCAAAACTACTTCAACGGAAGGTTTCCAGATGGATATGCGGAGCAAAATCCATCTGGCGGAGTCAGGTTAGCACGTTTGAGCTTCAGCAAGAACCAATGAGGTTCATTCTCGTGTTACGCAGCACGTTTTGACAAGGTTCATTCTCGCACGTTTGAGCTTCCACTAGAACCAATGAGGTTACATTAAACACTTGAAAAGAGTTCCAAATAGTAGGCTAGTTTATATTACATTTTTAATCAGTATCATAAACTAGTGATATTTGACTAAATTGGCCCCTCACAGAAAGGCTTGTAATAGGAGTCCATAGGTGTAACCGGTTACACCATTTGACATTTCAGTTTAAAATCAAATTTGACAGGCATTATCATGGACACCTATGTAATCATGTGGCCTTGGTGGTAAAATTTAAAATGTAATTTTTAAAGTTAATAATAATTTTTATAATAATGATGAATTATCAATGTATTATGAATTATCAATGGTCATACCATTTGAATACTTAAGAATACGTGACCATACCCTAAAATTGTCAAATTATTTCAAATTTTAAAGAGAGTTAATAACATTTGCATGCAGCAGTTAATGTCACCGGGGGTCCATCACTGTGATATAATTTCCAGTCACATGGTCTTCTTACACAATATATAGACCACCTTGACTCTTCAGAAATTTGACTTGACTCGCATGATTCCCCAAATTAATTATAATATTCAGAACAATGGTGTTCCATTTACTTTTATTTACTGTTAAAAAGTTATAATGTAAGATTATGCCAAACTAGCTGAAATGGTGTTTTATTGAGAATTTAACCTTTTTAAAACAAGATCAGTTATTTGGTATAAAGTTTTGATGGTTACACCACAGACATTTTTGCAATCATCCCCCAAATATTCTCTCAAAATGAATTAAAACCAGAAATTTTAGACTTGGTCCTCAAAAAAGAGAATGTATGCAAGTAATTTGCTGTTTTATTTTGAAATTTGCTACCCTTTTATTTTTTTTATTCTGTGGCGAAAACAAGCTTCCATATCAAACTCATTAAATGTGGGAATTTTCCAGAATAGCATGTAGTAACAATAGACTGTAAAAAATATGTAGTAACACAGTAAATGCATAAATGCATGGTCTTGTGGGTAGTAGGCCTATTTAATGTTAGTATGTTCAATGCCACCTAAGATAAAGTGTGACCAGAATTTCTGATGAAAATCCTGTCATCATTTAGCCTATACTCACCGACCGTCATGTTAATCAAGTCCAGTATGACTTTCTTCACCAGCATCAGTCCTCTTTCACTTCACTGAAACATCAAATGCCTACATCAGCATGTGTTCGACGGAAGAATATTAAGTAATCACATCATTCGTCGTAAAATATATTCAATACAATTAGCTACATTTATTAACAAGACTTGTTATAGGGTCGTTTTCATATCACGTGACATATTTGACCAATCAATCAGAGGTAAGTTTAACAGTGCGGAAATAATAGTAATTCGTTTGAAACGTCTCGTCTTTTCTATGTTTTAAATGTAGTTCTAATTTTAAAACAATGTCATTCTTGTACGTCACTGGACGCGTTTATATTGTGGTGGGTTTTGCTTTTTTTATTTATTTAAATTAATATTGTTAAAGCGATTTTGTATGGGTCATTTAAAAGTTATTTGTTCACGGCATTTTTTCCATGCTTAGTGGATTATAAAACCATGCCTTAAATTGCGGCCAAATGCATACACAGGGTTAAAATGGATTTTTCAGTTTTTATATTTGTTTCTAGCCCTATATAGTGCACTGCACCTGCCTCACACTGCTTTCACATAATGAAAATGTGTTATAATAGGCCTATTTGAGACAACATCTTATTTCAGCGTAAGGAACACATCCATTCAAGTAAACAGGTACATATGGAATTATTATTGTAATAAATAATACATGATAATATGACATAATAAAATTGCAACAGCAATCAGCAATGTGACACATTTGATAGAGTTATAGGTCACTGATTATACTTGCAGAAGCCATATAGCCTGGTTCTTGACCCAGGAGACAAGAGTTTGCAATGGCTCCTATAAAAGATGTTATAAAGCTGCAGTTCACTGGAGAGAGATGCAGGTCAAATACACATGACTGCAAAGAGCATGAGCAATGAAATTACCATTCGTTTCTTGAAAAGAAGGTTCGTTGTGCAATAGCCTACAACACACTGCCTCAACACTGAATATTAAATTCAGCATTTATTTTCCCATTCCACTTAGTAAGAAGGAAACTGAAAAGCACATATGGCTTTTTAAAGCTATCGTCTGCCATCTACTGGTCAATAGTGGTAGGCTACTCTTTGTATTTAAAGAGCTCTGCATTAACAATTTACCACAGAATAAATTACAATTATTAAGCATATTATGAGACAAATAGGCACTGATCACTTTAGTGATTAAAATATAAAATTTTACTAGTTTGCTAATCCTCTATGAACGCATTTTAATAAGTTATTGTTGTACCTAAAATTGGCTCTAGAGGGCGCCGTATTACCGCTTAGAATCAACGAGAACTGACAACTCACTGATCACCTTTAAAAGACAATCGTTTTCAAAACTCGAGACTCAATCATGGCATGGACAATTTCTCAGTTAGGCAAATTGTAAGTCAATACAAAAAGGTCTGTAGCCTGTTCAGGTCATGTTATATGCGTTCATGACAAAGATGTAACCTTCCAACCATAAAACAATCCCCGTGGCATTATGAAGTCTATGGATATTAGCTTATTACTTTTAGCTGGTTTGGTAAAATGAACTTTTAAAATTACAGTGACACCCAAGAGTCTGAATAGCTAATATTCAAACACCTTCCAAAGATTTATCTCCAAAGTCACCAACAGTTAGGCCTATAGCCTATTATAGCTAAATAAACGAGTTGAATGTCAAGTTTAAAGTTTAAACTTTAATACATTATGTGAATCAGAATATGTTTAAGTGTGCCATAAGGCAATCTATTCTTAAGTTAGTTAACTAGCAAATAAATAATTAAATATAGGCTATAGGTAGCCTAGAATTAAATTGGTGGAGACAGTGTGTTATACATATACCGAGGTTTTCCCCAATTTACCATTTAATATTTATCAAACATTATTTAAAATTAATTAAATTAACTAGGAGATGGATTTTAATATTAATGTAGCCTACTTTCATTGTGCTTCTCATTTGGGACTTTCAATTGTGCTGCGATGCTCTCGCGATAACACACGAATACAAACGTCAGACTGATTAGAGGCGATAAGATCTCGCGAGGTTTTCTCGTCTGAGCTCGGTCATAGCTGTGGGTGGAGACTTCTCCAGCAGCTGGTTAATGCTCGCAGAATACGCGCGACAGAGTCGATTTTGTGCAACGTAGCGATAAGATTGCCGATAAGCCTTCAGTTAATCGCTGTGGTGAATGAACACATCTTGCATTTAACACAATTACCCGGAAAATGCTGCGTTTGTCCGTTGTAAAGTTGTAAATGATCATTGGCGCTGGTTTGCTGGAGCTACTGTTGAAACAGTGTATCCGCAGTGAATTCACATCACTTCGTCCTGGCTCACCTTTCCCACAGGTATGATTTGCATTGGCTTTTCCATATGGTTTGTTATGTATTATTGTCTGTCTGTTTTGGAAAACTTAATACAACAAAAGTTTTTTTCCCACCATCTGTCGTCATGAAAAGGTAGATGCTTCTTCTCGATTATTACCGATCGGTCATCCGCACGATTTCTATTCTATATTTCCAATCACTACTCGCGTCATAATTTCTTGACTCAAATATAATATATATATATATATATATATATATATATATATATATATATATATATATATATATATATATATATATATATATATATATAAATCATCGCATAAGACCAATAGCTGTAATAAACTGCTACCTGTTGTGTTTCACAGGATTGTGTGTGTGTGTGTGTGTGTCGTGTGTATATATATATATATATATATATATATATATATATATATTATTAGCCTATATATATAGATATATACACGACACACACACACACACACACACATATATATATATATACATACATACATACATACACACAGAGAGAGAGAGATAGAGCATCAGCATACCCCATTTATTTGATCATTTTAGAGTGCGTGTATTGCAATTATGAATGACTTGTACTCAAATGAGTCAGATCTGCTTGATACAAATTATTTTGACCTGATGATTCATGTCATCATTGCTGGAAATTTTCAAAGAGTGACCTTTTAAAAGCACAGGGCATTAGAATAGAAATAAAACGGGATGCGAAGGGCACAACTGGAAGGACAGCACCAGATGTGATGCTGCCACTATTATAAGCATTTGACATATATAAGCCAAACTTTTTTAAAAGCATTTGTCCTGATGTACATGCTTTCTTGCTGATTGTTACAATGGATCAACTTTCATTTTCATCAAGGACAGGAATGCCTGCTAGATGTCACTCTCAAAACTATCTAGACCTGCCTGAATCCTCTGAGACATCCTAACTCAAATGTCTAACCAGGATATTGGTGCAGAGACTGGGGTTCCTGCTTGTTAAATGAAAAACCTGAAGCCAAAGTCTGTCATCTGTTTAACTTTATTTGTCTTCAAAAGGACTTTTCTTTTTGGTTGACAGGTCTAGAATACATGGAGTTTGCTATTAGTTAACATTCCCATTCATCTCAATGGCAGTTGCTAGGTTGACGCAAGACTAGTGGTAGAATTAAAGTTATGACAATGCTGATGAAACCTCAAGAACGTGCACAATCCCAAGCCCTGTGACGTACGAGGCAACAGACAGGAAAACATATAAGTCTAGGCTATTTCATGCTTTTTTGATCTCCCTAAAACACTGTCGGTAAAGAAAGATGCATTTCAAATTAAAATTGATAGCGGACATTGACTGCCTGCATTGAATCCAACAGCCGCAACATTTAGGGGTTGATGTTATCATCAAAAGCATCAGCGAAAGTATTTTTTTCGATTCAGATCGTTCCCTATTCTCTAAAAACGCTATAGCCTGTGCCAAATTATAGCCAAATTTGCTCAGTGCCCTCTGTCCATCATGGCCTCCTAATCATCCCCATATTGGCTTCATCACTCTGTCTCCTCTATGTCTGCAATATGGATTCCGTCGCATCATCCAGGTGGATGCTGCACATTGCATATGGAAGGGGGAATCTCCTCAACCACCACCAAAGTGCTTCGAGTACCTAGAAAAGCACCATATAAATGTAACAAATTATTATTATTTATATTATATAGCCTCACTTTCCATAAGCAAACTCAATTCTTATGTATATTTCTTCTTTTTGATTTGCACCCTGTCTTTTTCCTGCTCCAGTGTTTTGTCATTTAGCTGTCCTCAACCCAGCTCTGCAGTGTTACGTAGAGTCCTTCTCCCAGGAGGCAGAGTGACACTGTTTCCTGTAACCCCCTCTGAAAAGCTCTTTCAGACCCATTCTTCATCTGTCCCTGAGGAACAGAGGGACACTGAAGACGTTTGCCTTTTTCAGTGCTTAGCTTACTATATGCATCAGCATGCAGCTTATTAAGGGTAATAACAATAGGTGAATTCTGGAACCTGCTTCACCACCCTATGCTAATTTATAGAAGATAAAAGGCAATACAACTGTGTACTACAAGAGTTAGGCATTTTAAAAATGATTTGTGAAGTGTAGTTTTTTTTTTGGTTCAAAACGAGAAGTGCATTGTATGAAATTGTTAAACTCAAAACGCTCATGGCGCAAAATGCTGAAAAAAACCCCACTGCAAATCAAAGTCCGTCTGAAGTACATCAGCAAAATTCAAAATCCTCACAGAAATTAGCACAAAATTACCAAAAATCCTGGTCCACAAGGTAATTGAAAAAAAAATTAATACTCGGATAACGAGCGGCGGTTGTCGGTCGGGAAAATTAACCGAAATGAGCATCCCTAGAAGGGGCATAATGATTGTGTCTCTTTAACCCGAGCGTTTTCTGTCATGGGCAGGGAGCCGAGTAGGGAATCTCCTTGGCTATCCTGAAGGGAAGAAAGCCACTGAAAGACTGAGAGCCGTGTCTTTCCAGGAGCCTTATTAAAATGCATTAGAAGCACTAGGCTGCCTTCCCCCATCATTGTGGTGCTTATCATCCACATAGCAAACAGCCCAGCTGTACACAAGGGAGCTGGGCAAGCCCTGTCAGCCAGGCCCATAATCCCATTCTCTCTCACGCAGTCATAAACACGTGGACCCGGCTCCCCCGAAAAAACCCCCCCTCTCTTGCATGATGTGACCCCCTGCTTCCTTTCTTCATATGCATGGAAAGGACAGCTTTTCAAGGACGTGAGGTCTGCCTGCTCTTGCTGAGGGATTTAGATCTGGACAGCTCCTTAGTGCCATGCGCTCCCAAAGTCTTTATGCTCTTTAGCATATTACTCGCCTCTGTGTCTCTTTAATCTGTTTGCATATCGCTTCACCAAGCAAATCAGTTTTAAACCCCTTTTCCCCCATGATAAGAGCTCTGCCATGTTAATATGCGCCAATGGTCTGGATTTAGCTTTGATTTTTTCATTGTAGCAATGAATTAACCTCCTATAATCTGATCCATACCACAGAGCATTACATGCAAGCAGTTTCAACATCCTCCGTGTGTGTGTCAGTTTTGCTCATAGCATCCTCAAACATATGCCAGATCTGAATGATAGCCAAGCAGTCGAACTCGAGCATGTGATACACATGAGCTTGCATGTGATCTTCATATCAGATCCACAACCTAGTCCTAGATGCTAATACAAGCATCAACCACTTTGCAGAGTTAAATGTATACACTGTAATAATTAAAATCCATAGAAAAACAGAAAAGGTACTGGGGTTGTGCCGATAGAGTCAGGCTCAGAGATATCCCCGGTGGCTGATGCCTTTGACGGTATCAAGATGATTATTATTATAGCTGCGTTCACACCATGTCGTAATTACCGGGATTTCAAGATGAATACACGTGATGTTCTACTCAAAGCTGTTCACGTCCTCAGACCAGGAATTATGCGTTTCTTTGGCAACACTATCAATACCTAAATTAGAGCTCTCTGGCGGTACATACAAAAATGATATAATAACAGTATTTTATAGGTCCAAAACCACTGCACAATAATCAGTCATAGATGAAAATCAAAAGCAACTTCAAACACTGGCTTAAAAATACTTAACAAGAAATATTGATTCCCCTAATTTTTTTCACTATATTCATATGGATTAGTTTTACGATCACATTTTGAAGCGTGCGTTACTTGGCATTAACATTCAATCACCGTGATCCGATCAAGCAGATCGGATCATAAGCCAATCAGGACACGGTGCGTTTACACCTGTCCACATCAAGTGGCTTCTGTATCTGGATAACAGATCAGATCTCACATTTCCGTGAAAAAAAATAAAAATAAATAAAAGGGATGTCTCCGGTGAAACTTTGACCTGAAGTGGTGGGTTCTCTTACGAGAGGTTCTCTCGTATTGCGTAAGCTAGCTTACGCTGCGGGAAAGATTCATCTTTGCTGAGATATTGAAGCCAAAAAATTATTTCATAATTTTGTATCCATACACAACGCAGTTCCTCTGCGGCAGACCTAGAGCGGGCTAGCTAGCAGCTCATTGGTTCGCTCAGAGAGAACTGCTTAAGCCTATGGGAGAGCGGGGCTGAACCCGCTTCCAATGAGAGGCGCCCGCGCGCTCATTGCGTCATGACCCGCCAGAATGGGCGTGGCCATGGTGTATATAAGGCGCTCTCCCAGGCTTATATGTTGATTCATTTCATCTTCAGCAAGCTGCACGCTTCTGCTGTTCCTGAGAAAAGCCATCGCCGTCGAAGAAGGCATCCTCTAGCGAGCTCAAGGACCCTGAAGAAGCCGGCCGTCTTCGCCACCTTCAGCCGCCCAGCAAGCTAGGCCATCCGACGATTGTATCCTTTCTCTATTTCTAAAAGAGCCGAGCGTCTTTTTAAAGATGTCTCGTTTTTCCTGCGGCTCTTGCCGCGCTCGTCTCGAGGACGGAGACCGCCATGTCATCTGCGCTCTCTGCTTGGGACTCGAGCATGCAGAACTCGCCCTCGCTGATGGAGGATGCGACCTCTGTGAAAGCCTGCCGTTATCGTCCCTGCGGGCACGACTTCTGGCAGTGAAAACCGCTCCCGCGCCGCCTATTCTCTCGCCGCGTAAAAAGAAACGCCGCTCTCAAAGGCCGCCGGAGCCCCCAGCGGAAACATGCGGGCCGCCGCCGCCGCCTCCCGCTTCCCGCTCTCCCTCCCCGCCCCTGCCGGACATTCAGTTGCCGCCGAGTGGCCGCTCTGTTGTTTCCGATGACGCCGCGGAGGAGAAGGACTCCTGTTCACTGCTCGCTTCTGACAGTGAAGACTGGTCATCTCTCGGATCCGCGAGAGAGTCGACGGGGACCCGCGCCGGGATAGAAGAGGAGCTGATGCGCCTCCTCTCACAGGCCGTCGAACGCCTCGGTCTCGAGTGGTCTCCTCCACCCGAGCAGGCCCCGAACCGAATGGACGGTAGCTTTTTTCATCGGCGCTCGACCCCCGCG